AGGCTTGGTTATTGGGCACTATGGGGATTAAATTACATATATAAATCAAATATGTGTATATTTTAATTTATATATATTTTAAGTATATAAATAAAAACTCCCAGCATCCTCAAGCCAAGATGGCCAAAGGCCATGCCCCTTGGAATTCTGGAAGCTGGGGGGGGGGGGTCAAACACATCTGGAGGGTACCAGGCTGGGGAAGGCTGTTCCAGGCTCAGCTGTCAGAGAGGGTCCAGGAGCCACTCAGCAGCCGCCCCTCCTGCCTCTGACACGGAGTGCCCTGGCCTCATCTGTCTCCCAGAGATCTGAACATGCAGCTGCAACTACAGCTGCAAAACTGCCACCAACCATCTCCTTCCCTTCCCTGCTGCCACAAATCTTGATTTTATGATCTGGAGACAGGTAGACTCCCAGCTTACATCAGTGAAAAGTTACTGGAGGCTTGCTTCTGTCAATAAGGCTTGTTTGATGAAGAGAAAAAAGATAGGTTTTCCTGTTTGCAAGCATCATTAGTACATAATGTGGGGAGGGCACACGTGAGGACAGGGGAACAAAACCATTTTCAAGATGTCCCTTTAACAGACAAGCCTTTACAAATGCATTTTAAATATTTTATTTGTTTTGTCTATGTTTATAGCACTTTTTGATATAAACGTTTCCAGCCTGGTTCACATTAGCATGTTCTCAGAATAATGCAATCAAATTGAGCACAGCAATCAATAAAGCAGCAAGTCACAGCGTGACCTGCTTGAGTTTGGTCCCCAACCTACAGGCGGAAACTAAGGCAGGGGAGGGCATGAGGTGAGGCGGATTCCGGAGTGCAAGGGCATCCTGGGGTGGCAGGTGGCGCCCCAAATCTGGCGATCACCAAGCTAGGAACGGCTGCGCTTGAGTGAGCCTCCTTGCTGCTCTTGCCGGTTGATCCATTATGGCCATTTATCCACTTATGGACCTGGCACTTTGCAAAGGAAGAAGGGCCTCTTCCCTGCCTCAGGGGACTAAACTAGGAAACAGCAAAAAGAGATAGCGAAATAGGCAGGGGTGAGCAGGAGAACGTGCATCTGTATCCTAGTTTTATAGCTCTACTGCTGCTTCGTTGACTTCCTCAACTTGGTGTGCATTCTGATGTGATGTGTTGGACTGCAGCTTCCTTGGCTGTGCTGGCTGGGGATGCTGGGAGTTGCAGTCCAGGACAGCAGGGACACGCATACTTGTGGAAGGCTACAGAAAGGGATTGGAATTACCAGGGCAGGGTTCTGTCAAAGGCTTCAGGGAAAATGTGGCTGTTCAGAGGGACTTCACTAAGAGCTGTGTATGTAACAGTCCGCCCACCCACTAATCAGGGTGTGTCTGTGTAGCATTTCAGTTAAGCAGCAATGTGTAACGGATTAATCCAGCCCTTGACTATGGGTGCGTGTCCTTGCCTTCTCTGTTTAAGCTGCAAATAATTTGGTTTTAAAACTTTACTGTGATTGTATGCATTACTCGTATTTTACTCCATTTCGTATTTATGAACTGTTGCGCACCGCTCAAGAGAGCTTCGGGTTTAGGGCGGTACAGAAATGAAACGAATGCTAACAGAACTGCATGACTGAAATAAAGCAGCCAGAAAGAAGTCCTGCGGTCGCCAGCACGAGTGGATGCAATAAGCGAGGAGCTGCAGCGCTTTGGCGTAGGGCTGCGCCCCGAACCTCGCCGGATCCAATCCAGGCATTAACCTCGCATTTCCTCGGAGCAGCCCAGGCCAGCCCACCGTTCCAGAGGGGGGCGCTTCCGCGCGAGAGTGGGACGTGCCATTTTCAGTAACCGGGGTGCGTCATAAAACGAACGCCTTGGCGGAACCATGGTGAAGGGGTGACGCATCCCACTTTGCAGGGGAGGGGCGAAGTCAAGGGATGGCGGCCACCGCAAATGGCGGGGGGGGGGGCGGCGCGGCAAGAGCCCAAGCGTCTTCCATTGTCGGTCGCAGCGCAGGGGATGTGAGCGGGCCGTTCCGGGGGGCGAGGCGGAAGGAAGGAAGGAAAGCGGAAGGCGGGGCGTGCGGCGTGCGCCTGCGCGAGAGAGGCGGGCGGGCCCGTTTCCCGGCGGGCCTTGTGGTTGGTGGGCGGCCGCCTGTCCGTCTTGCGCGGCTGGTTGAGGGACTCGCGCCGCTGCCGGTCCGGTCCGGTCCGGTCCGGAGGCTTCTGCGCGACGCCGTGGCGGGGCGGGCGCCGCTGCTGTTCCTCCCTCTGCGCGGCTCTGGCCTGGCTCCGCGCCTTGACGCAGACAGAGGGGCTCTCCCCGCCCGGGCCGTGTGGGAGGCGCCCGCTCCGCTCCGCTCCGCGCCTGGACGCTCAATGCTCCCGGTGGGTGAGGCGCGCGGGCCTGGGCGGCTGGGGAGGGCGAGGCGCCCGAGGTGCCGGTGCTCGGGACATGGTGTCGTGGGGGGCGGCGGGGCGCGGGCGCGGAAGGAGGGACGGGAGGGAGGGAGGGAGGAAGCAGGCAAGCGCCGCCTCGGGCCTAGGGCCGCCCTGCGCCTCGCTTCTCGTGGACGAAGCGCTTGCGGGAGGAAGTGGGGGAGGTGCCGCCGCTCCGCGAGGAGGGCGCCGGGCGGGCGCAGCTGCTGCTGTTCCCGCAGGGCTGGGGTGGACACTGATTGCGAGGGCTGCGGCTCCTGCTGATGACGGCGGACCCGGTGCCGCGGGGAGGCGCCTGTGCGTGGCACCCGGGCCAGGAAGGGAGGTGGGCTTGAGGGGCAGAATGGTGGGGCGAGGCGAGGGGGGCGGTGTGGTGGGAGGGTGGCGATGGCAGTGCGGCGGGTCGAACTGGAACGAGGAGTTTCTGCGGAGCGGGGTCGCCCGAGGTGGTGGGGACGCGTTGTTTTCGGACCCCTGTGGCTTTGAGAGGCGTGGAGAGCCGGATTTGAAATTCAGCATGGGGAGCCGAGGCTTGTGCTGGGGGAAAGAGCTGGAAAGTCTAAAACAGAATGACAGCTGTCAAATTGGTGGTGGTCGGGATGTGAAGCTGAACTGAACCAAGAAGGGTTCCAGAGGCAAGGGTAATGGAAATGCTAGTCCCAGAGAGAGCATTTTTCTTTTGGGGTTGCGAGGTTTTTTGAAGGCTCATAATTTGAGATGCGAAATAGAGCAGATAGTTAAAGGGTGGATTGCGAAGGAGCTTGGGTAGAAAGAAATTGGGGTAGAGGTAGGATTTTTTAAATCAGGGAGAGGCCAAATAGAAGGGAAAACTTGGCTTACTGGATGAAGCAATCTTAGGAGAACAGGAAGAATGGCATTTCCAGGCTTCTATTTCCTGAAGTGGAAATGGCTGAGTACATGCTAGGCTTTGTTAATACCAAGCCTTTGTGGTATGTATTAACTGGAGCTAGTAAGTTTAGGGGAGACTGTGAGGAGTGAGTTGTAAAGCCTGGAGAGGGATACAGCTATTGTATTCATGAACCCGACTTCACTTGGCTTGGAATGGCATTTGGGAGCAAGACAAAACAACTCCTGTTTGAGACTTGGGTGGCTGGGTGCAGATGTGAATGCTAACTGCATGTAATTTCTATTCAGAAGTTACTGAAAGGGGTTTAGGGGGAATGTTACTAATTTTGGGAAGGAAAGGTTGTGGAGATGGGCAGGATTGTAGGAGAGGAGAAGACCTGAAGAAACAAGGATTTGGGTGGAGTTGGAGGTGCTAAAAGTCCAGAGAATCTGAGGCAAAGAGGAAACTGCTCAAAGGAAATAATGGAAATTTATACACATAGAGGACAAGTACTTCCACTGTTGCCATGCTAACCTTGTAATGGGTTGCTTTTTGTCTTTCTGTCCTTGCTCTGTAAACCTGGTATGGAAGGGCCATGGTGCTCTCCGCTGTGGGAGGTTGTTGACAAAGGGCTTGGGATTAAAAAAAAAGTGTGGACTCAAGGAAAGGGTGCTATGCTTAGGAAAGTTGGGGCTGCAAGGATGGCAGCTGCACCAGAAAGGGGAAAAAAAGAAAGGTGAAGATGGGAAAGTGTTACAAGGAAACTGGTGGATTTAGGGGAAGTAATGAGGTAAGAACAGCATAGAATAAGGCTCACAAAATGTAGTTGGTACTTGTGTTGAGAGAGGCAAGTCATTCCGAGAGAAGCAAGGAGAAAGTGGGTTTGTGCTGCAGGATGTTCTAAAGGGAGGCCTACAGGTAGGGTCTCTATGAAGAAAGATGATGCAAATAAGGGTCAGAGAAGCAGGAACTAACATGTAGATATAATGAGCAATAGGGAAGTGACAGTGCTGGAGGACAAAGAGAAGGAGCAATGCTATATTGCAGGAGATTGGGTGATAGAAGAGAAGGTCAGGCCTGGAGCATAAGACAAGGGAATGCAGGGACTGACTGTGTGTATGCCCCAGGTTAGTTATGAGGCCTAGAAAAGGAGAGTTGGAGTAGATACTGAAGGGGAGAAAAGGCAGGGATCGCTGGGGAAATTGCATTAAATTGTAGAACCTAGGTTAGCAAAGCCAGGGAAATGTCACATGATAAGGTCTAGGAGGGCTGAATTATTCCTTGGTAGGTGAGTGTCTGTGTTGGAAAAGGATGGAATGTAGGTGGATTATAGGATAAGAGCACAGACCAGCTCTAAGTGTTTGAACCCTGACGGGTCTCCTGTGTCACAAGGGGGGCTAGCTGCAAACACATTTTTGTCTTGTGGGCTAGCTGCAAACACATTTTTCATTTTCAGTGCCCATGAACAAGGCTGGCACTTTCACAAGTGCTTGTATACCTTGAAAATGAAAAGCACACCCACCTTGTTGAATGAGCAGGGCAGCTTGTGACTCAGAACTGCAGTAGTAAGAAAAATGAGGCACCTCCCTCTGTGACTCAAAGTGCAGAAATGTTATCTTTGGTCAGCACTTGGTGGAAAGAGCTCACTTCTGTGGGGCTGGAAGGTTTACAAGAGGTGGGAGTAGATGCTTGTGAAACTCACAGATGGCTTTCTTTGTGGTAAAAGGAAAGGGGTCTTGTTGAGAACCATGTCTTGAAATATTGAAATTCAAAGTCAGGTGTACTATAGGAAGGCTGAGGAACAGTCAATAATATCTGTTCTTATACCTATGGATTATATTTTCTGATATTGGAAACAGGCTTTTTTGACCTGAAATAGGTTAACGGGGCCTTAGCCTTGGACTGGTGACATTCATAATATAGCATTGGTGCAGTTTCCTAATTTTCTCCTTAAAAGTTACATGTTTGAGGGGTCCATTCCTGGCCTAGGTCCCAGGTATTTAATAATAAGGTTTTTAAAAAAATTAATCTTACCCATTGCATTTGCAAGACACGACTATACCAGTTACCAGTTGCATATGTGTTTTAATTGGTTGAACAAAACAAATTCATTGTCTAGGGAGACCCTTAGCAATTTTCAAGTGGTCCATGAGAAAAAGCATGAGCACTCCTGGCTTAAGCAATGAAATGTCTAGATATGGCTATATGCCACCAAAGCTTTGTGGGATGTTCTTTTCAATTTGACATCCACATTTTGAACAGAAACTTTCTTCCTGTTAAGTTAAACCGTGAATGTTCTCTACTGTTGCTGCCTCTGTACTTTACCCTGCTGTGGAATGTTGTGCTGCTTAACTGTTGAGGGGCCTCAAGAGGGAAGAAAGATGACATGGTTGTAATGTTACTATTTTTAAAAAAATGCAGGTAAGCTTCCTGAGTCTATCTGGAATAAATGCTTATGTGAGTAAAATGCAGAATTCGTAAGGCATTGTGGCTTGGCTTGTTTTTTAAAGAACTAATTTATTTAACTTACAGCATTTTAGCAATATATTCTTTAACCATTCTCTAATCCAATTTAATTTTTTTATTTGTCCCCCCCTTTTTTTTTAGAATTTAAGCTTCATGTACAGTTCTTTTTAAAATCTGGTTTACAATGAAATCTAAAGTAGCTACATCTTAAATTAGCATTTGTGTCTACTTATTACAAGTTGCTTAAAGCATGAAGCATGGGGAAAACAGCTTCAGTCATCATATAGAACAAAATCTGTGGGGTGTAACTTTGGAGTTAAAGTTACATAGAACCAAGCAGCACAAATCTGGATATGTGGAATAAGGGAAGAGAAAAGTTTGCATATTTTGCAAAAGGCTGAGTTACTACCTGACCCCCCCCCCAAAAAAAAATGGTTTTATAGTTTCTTAAAAGAAACAGTGGTATTATAGAGGTTTGTGGTGTGTCCATGTTTAGAACATCTATTGTGGGCTACTGATTATGAGAGCCAGAAGTGCACAAATATTATCTCTGAATACCAGAAGCTTGGGTCTAATAATGTGGATATTGTCTTTGCCAGGGGATCAGCTGGTCATGTGTGATAATCAGAATGCTGAGCTAAATGCTGTTTGTTCTACGTAGTGGATGTGGTCTGGTCTTACATGGAATTAGCACTAAACTCATCTCTTCTGTAAAACTATGTAACATGTAAAATCATATTGTGTGCTTGACCTTTATCTTTTAAGTTTGACTTCTACTAGTTAACTTCTTTCTTGCAAACTTGCTTCCTGAAAATATATTGTATTGACTGTGTGATCGGGAGGAACATCGAATAAGGCATTTGGGTAAATAGAACTGTTGACATAAGTCAGAAATTTTTGATTTTGAGTGGTGGGACATCAGGTTAAAAGCTGACATTTGACTTGGCATGTGGATCAGACATTGGGAACTGTTGGTACTGGGAACACATAATTGGGTGTATTAAATTCAGAATTCTGCAACTTCTTCCTGGTGATCTTAAATTCATTTGTGTTTGCGATTCATTTGAAAAGCCATTATGGCAAGTTCTAGAACTTTCACAACGTGATCACCCACTTCTTCAGTCAGCTGCTTGATACCACATAGGGTGCCATCCAGTATGGTTGCCTGTAACTTTCTAGACTTGGGTGATATGGGCATCTGATGGAGGGCAGAAAGAGGGCAGAAGTGAGGGTTGCTTCAGTAGTCCTTGCACCCTCTGAAAAGCCTAAGTTGGCTGGAAAGAACTGCTCTGACTGCAGAGGAGGGTGTTTCAAGTTTGGAGTCCCAGCTCTGCCCTTGAGCGCTTCTCCAAGATCAGAGCTGGGGCTTTAAGTTATCCTGTGGCCATCTAGACAGTATCTGGCAGTCATAGGATTGTGCCCTACATTTCTATTTCCTTTAGTCAGGTACTGTATATGAAATTTTAATAGCTTTACCTCATTTTAATGACTGTCTCATTAAAAATACAATCCATTTACCCATAAAGATGCAAAACTTGCCTGCCCAAAGGGGAAGTACTCAAAGTTGTGCTCCAGGTTTAGCCTTCCAAATCCTATTAACTGGTCCCAAATCCAGCACCCTTTGTTTCAATTTGTAAGAAATGAACATAAAGTACAGATAAACTATTTCTAACTAGTGTCTACTATATAAATGTTGGAACAAACTGGTTCTTATTGAGTGAATTCAGACACAAGTAACAGAAGTGGCCTTCTAGTGATCAGAAAACCAGAGATCTGTAGAGCATGCCTGTCCGCACAGTCTTTATAATGTTGCCCTTTCGTTTTGTAGATTACTCCTTAAGCCTTTTTGGTTGGGGAGGGAGTTGAAGTGGAAAGTGATCTGGGCAGTGTCAGACACTGATTCTATATCAGATATTGTGGAATTGTGTGGAATATGGCAGGATAAGGGAACATGGGATAAATAGGTCTTATTTATAATGAAAAAGTATGAGTGCTGGGAAGGAATGTTGTGGGTAGGGACAGGGGACACTGGCTGGCATAGAAGATTAAGGTGAGATGATCTCTGGTAGTAAAAGTACTTGTCTTTCTCCACTTCCTATAAATTGGACATCTGTTTGGTTTGTTGATGAACATATTAACAGTTGGGAGTGAGCTGATAGCGTAAGAACCAGTCCTCTCAGATGACTGGTTGATGTTTGTGTGTTTATATGCCTCTGTATGTGGTTTCTTTTGAGTGGTTTGCTATAGACTTGGTGCAGGGTCTTAGACCTCCTTGGTATCTGCGTGTCAGTAGTAGTGTAGGTTAGAAATGTCAGGCAGAGTGGACCAAGGCTGAGAAGTGTATCTTGTCCTTTACTAAAACATCGGTCTCTATGTTTAGCGCTTTACTTGTTTTTTCCTATGTGCAATTATTCAGCATTGTATCAAGTCTCAAGTTGAAAATTATGGATACATTATTGGGTACTGTTACTTCAGTTTCTCAAAGAACTGTGCTAATAAGGCAACATGTCTATAACTTAGCATATCAGCCCTTCCCCACAAAGGGCAAGAACATGGCAGATTTTTTATAAAGGGAAACAAAGCAAAGGTTACTTGTTCCTGAATGTGAGAGGGCTCCATTATGCCATGGCCCCATATGCATAGGGAAATCTGGAAGGTTGGGAGGGAGTATGTTGTTGTTGTGCGTTATTGCTGTGGCACAAATGCTTTCCCCTGGAGGAAATGCTTCTATCCATGCTAACTGGCATCATAAGACTGATGAAAAGCTGGCTATTGCTTAAAGTCCTGATGAATGCTGAAGTGTATTTATTGAGTTGCTGAGATGTGCCAGTATTTGATCATGATCAGATGATGTCTAACAGCATTTCAAAACCTTCTCTTATTTCTACACGTAAGTTTAATTTCAAGAAATAAAGTGTTATGTTGAGTTAACTCACAATAATCTTTTACTGATATGAGAAAAGCCTCTGAATGGTTTTTATACTGTTCTTCATGGCAGTTCATTCTAGCCACATGAAAAACAATGAGTGTAGAAATCAGGTAGGAGTAAAATGAGTTCAAATAAGCTAAACAGCAAGGTGTTGCTTGCATGCATGGGGGCCGGGCGGTAATCTTTGATGACTGGCTGACAAATTAGCAAGTTTTGCTTTGTACCCTGCTGCTCTGCTCTATTATGAGGAAAGGTGATCCAGATAACCTTTTCAGAAGAATTTGTCCCTTGCAGTCCTGGATAGCTGCAGCTGCTGAAGTCTGTCTTATGTTCTCACAGCCATTAAGACAGCGGACTGAAATGCAAGTTCCAAGGGGGTCTTTCAAAGGGAAGAATGCTTCAGTCTCATTTCCTCCTCTATAGTGGACTGAACTAGCTTCCTTATAGCCTGAAGTGCCTGATCCTGCTTAATCTTGGAAGCTAAGCAGGGTCAAGCCTGGTTGAAATCTGGATGGGTGACTTAAATGTTGTGAACTGCTCAGAGAGCTTTGCTATGGGTGGTACAGAAATGTAACAACAACAACCTGAATAAGATATTATGGTGCCTTCCAGTCTTTAAACTGACTTCAATCCTTGCTTGCCGCAAGAATATGAGAGTAAACTACAGGTGTAAACTAAAAGTTGATAGATAAAAATTGTCCTGCTGAATGAGCTGCCTTTAAGAGTCTGTGAGATGATACCTTGGTGATTCTGGCTAAAACCTCAGGTCAGTTGCAAGCCCTACTGCCAAGCCTAGGGCTTTAGCAAATTGCTTTCTGTCAGCGTAACATTCTTCACAGAACTGTGAAAATAATGAGATAAAGCTATATTGAGATTACTGGTCTGGCCAGCAAAGTTGAATCTATATGTACATTTCACACCACCCCCACTTCCCTAATCTGCTGCTTCCATGCTTTCCCTGAGTGTTAGTTTCCAATGCCAAAGAATTTCATGTCCCGAAATGGGGTAGGACATCATTCTTTAGCCCATGTTCTCATTGTCCATTTATTGCTGTTATCTTTCACTTTTGCTCCTGTCATTCTTTGTTCCTTTTAGGTCTGAACTCTCAGGAAGACAAGGACTCTCATATGGAAATCTGCCCCGGACTTAGTTTGTGCTAGGGCTCAGTAGGGCTGAATCCTGGATTGAAAATGCTGTCCCTGGGCATAATAAGGGTACATTTATATAGCACTATAGTTTATTTGCTTTTTCCCACCCACCCCTATAGTTTGTCATGACCAAAAGAAAAGAAAAGAAAAGCTCCTGATTTTGTCCTATTCCTTTAAAGAGTCCCTCATTAAATTATTCTTGGTTGTCTCCAAGCAGGCAAATTCTATTTTTTTTCTTATCCAAGCTTAGCCTAGATTGTTAACTAGGGCTGAATGCAGAGTTGTAACCTCTCATCAATCTTTATCAAAGAGAACTCCAGTAAGCCCTAATAAAGAAAAAATAAATTTGTATGCATCTTTTGCTTTTGGGGGACTGTTGTAGATTAATTTGAGGATTATATCTTTCTCTCAATAACCTCTACCACCTTGGTGCAGGTGACATGGCAAAGGAGGGCACCCAGCGTGGGTTTGGTATTCAAAATGGCCACGGGCATGCACTGCAGCACATGGTGGGTGGTGATGTTCATGCCTGCCCAGGCATTGCTGCCAGCAGGATGCCAGGTATCTTAATTTTAGCCTGTAAGTTGATCAGTTGGGACTTCAATTAATTTGTACTGGCAAATTTTAACTGGTGAATAAATTATAGATTATTATAAGCTTATTTTAAAACTGTTCCGGTATATTAATGGAGAATTATTTCAGTATTCCAAAGTCACACAAACTTGAGCTGCCTGGAGACTATGGTAGTAGGTGGTGTATAAATGAAAGATTAAATAAACAAACTCAGGTTTTGACAAAATGTTTATTAAATTGGCAAAATTAATTTTTTGATAAACTTGTACAGTAAAATGCATACCTTCCTATCATTTGGTACAAAAATGGTTTTTCTGTGTTCTTATATAAGGTTGGTGAAATTTTCCATTTAATATATGATGATTTGAAACTAATCACTGTGTTGAAAGGTCTAGAACTCTTAATTCTTGGGGGGGGGAGGTTCCCCTACCTGTCTTGGTTCTTATGGGTTTCATGAAAAATATCAGAGTTGACTTTTTAGCGTTGCTTCTTGTGAAGATGTTAGCATTGCTGTTCTTCTGGAGATGGCACTTTAAAGTTTTTACCATGTTGACAGGGATGAAAAGGAGTTTGAGATATTCTAAGTCACTGCAAAATTTATTTATTTCCTTATACATCCTCTTACTTTAAAAGATACTTTAATACTGCAAACTTGAGAATGGTAGTTAAAGACACTTTACCATGGTATTCTTAAAACCTTCATGTCAGGGGCTTGCAATCTAGATACTTGGATATTGTAACCACTTCTTTAATGGAAGTGAATTCCCATTTATTTGTGGGACCTTTTTCCATGGCTCAGAAGTAAGAAAACAAGTCTCATAGCTGTACATAAGTGATCTCCCTTTAGGCTTTAAATCCTTGTTTTTTAAACTTCTTATCCCTGTGCCCTTATATGGGTTAATGCAAATTTATACTGTGGAAATTAAAAAAAAATATTAAGGATCTGTAGTAGCTGCCTGTTTTGGCTGGGTGAGAAGAGATAACAAACCCCTATTAGCTTTTGTCCCTTGCTTTGTCTCCATACATCTGTATTTTTGTGACAGAACGTAGAAATATATATTTGCATAGCACCTTCCCAAAAATCTCATCAAGGTGTAGAAGCAATGCATACAAGCATAAAAAGGCCACCAAACCTTATTTAAATAATGAAAAAAGCATGAAAACCAGTGTTTGCAATTTTAAAATTAAACAGGTATGTCTTAATCGCTTTCCAAAAAGTTGAGAGAATGGGAACCAAAGTTCACCCTCTCTGAAGATTGAGCATTCCAGAGTGTGGGAGCAGTGGAGGAGAAAGTGAGTTCACATGTGCCTAAAAGGGGCCCCTGCAAGCGGGGTGTCCACACAATGGCCACTCCTGCACATCCTAAGACCCAGGCAGGTTCATAAGGAGACAGGCAGTTCCCCAGACACCCAGGCACCAAGCCACTGAAAGCTTAGCCAGGGGCAGCTGAGGACTTCAACAGAGTTAATTCAGTGACTGTCTTTCTGAAATGGGTGTTTTCTCCCCTGCAATGGCTTATTCAAGCAGTGCATGTGTGTTTCAAAAGGATTTGGCTTCAGTCTAATATCACTGCTACAGACTCTTCAATATACCCCCTTTGTTGTGAAACAGCTGAAATATAGATATTTTCAAGTATGTATAATGCTCAAAGAAAAGGTGGTATTATAGTACATTAGAAAGACTTTATGGTGAATGATTCCCCCCCCCCCAATTAAGTTGCCAGTGGTAAAAGTCTAAAATTCTATTTGGTGATTTGTTTTGTACATGAACAAAACAGTAAATATTATGTGGGTGAAATATGGTGGCATTGTAATCTGCACAGTGGCAAACAGTGCTCTAGCAATGCTATATTGTAGGTCTCAAAAGAAAAATGTACCAGTTTACATTTTGTACCAGGGGTGTCAGTGCAATGCCAAGGTTAGAACGGGGCATAAAATTATACGAACAATGAACAAAGACTCAGTAGTGCAATAAGTAGAATCCTAGGTGTGATTTAGACTAGAGCAAAATGGAGTGGAAAACACTTTTGTGTGGCATGCAAGCAAGACTGTTTATAGTTCCTTTACTTTTGCTGCTCACCCTTTACGTGTTTCTTCACTGGGCTCTGCCAATAAAAACAAGTCCTAGGCTGAGTTCTAGCTAACCCTGATTTAAATTAAAAGGAGAGGAGGAAAGATAGGGTGTTAAATCATTTGCTGAGCCTGTGCAACACAACAATCAACCTTACCTGTAAACTAAGCTATGTGGGTGGTTTGTGAAACATTCCACAGTGTGCACTTAACAGATGATCAGGCCCTCCGTGGGCTGTTCCTCCACCTTTTCCCTTCATTGTCTCACAAGTATCCCAGGGATCTGTACAGCAGAGCACATCTAGTCTCCTGTCCCTGCCAAATAAATAAGGAGAAAGTCACAATAATGGCAAAAGAGGTCAGAACTGGCGTGAGGCAGAATGAACCAGAGAGGTTTGCTTAGAAGTGCTTCAGGATTCTGGCAGGAGCATGGGCCTTTTTGGCAACATTGCCAAGTGGTCTGCTTGCTGCTCCCTGCAACACACAACCGGGATCGCTCACCCATGTGTGGGTGGCCTGATGCCCCGTGGTGGGGCTGACAGCCCGCAACAACAAGCTATGGGAAGTGGTCCCGGTTCACAGGACAACCCACTAAGGCAAGTATTCACAATGGGGTATGCGAGGGGGTGCCACACAGAGGTGGGTCATGAGCTCATTTCCCCTGCAGTGGAGGGCAGGATGGGTTCCAGCGAGCAAAGCTCAGGGAACCAAGGTGCCAGGAAGCACTTCCTGACAGTCAGGACCCCGAGGGTGTGGAATGGGCTTCCCCGGGAGGTGGTTGAGGCCCCATCGGTGCGGGTGTTCAAGGATAGGCTGGACGTGCACATGGTGGGCATGTCGTGAGCGGAGCCGGCTGCTGCCGGAGGTCAGACTAGATGGCCCGGGAGACCCCTTCTGACTCGCTCCGTTTCTGTGTTTCTATGACATTTGCGCACATGCTTGCCTCCAGAAGGATGCCCAAAGTGGCTAACATGATACAGTAATTTCCAGGCAAGCAATAGGAATAATAGTTTGACAGTATAAATTCATTGTAGCATTCTTAAGCATTACTGTTTATAAGGAAATACAACATTATAGTAAAAAGAGGATAATATGAAACAATATATCCTCACTTGAACAGCAACGAGGAGCCATCACACCTTGAAAGCTCTCAAATTAATACAGAGGCAGAAGAGAGGTACATGCATTACTGAACCATCTTTGCTGGTGGTTGTGACTTTATAACCAATGATTCACTTTCCTTAGAGTGGGGGTGGGGATAGACCCAGCACTGTCAGCCATTTGTCAAGCCTAATAATCCTGGAAGGCCCACTTGAGCCACAAGTATTAAAAAGCATGAAGAATTGGATACACTGGGTAGCCCTGCCCAGGGCAGTGTCAAGCTGCTTGCTTGTGAACAAACGTCCTGTGCTTTAACCACTCAAGACTATGTAGATGACACTGTCTGTTTGACTGTTGCACTACTAAAGTGCAATCCTTTCCTTGGTGTATTGTCTTAATTAATGGGCGTCATAACCTTGGTAAAGATCAACACAGAATCGATGCAGGTTAGAACTTCCTGGTATTTGTTTTATGCTGTGCGTCATGGAACACTCTGTCTTGTGAAAATGTGAGTTGGCCTGTTCTTGGCTTTCAGCTCCTTTCTGGCATGACTTGTGCACATGTGGTTGAAGCAAACCAAGCATTTAATGAAACTCTCAACTTGCTGATCTTGAAACTGAAACTTCCACACAATCAGTTTATGAAAAGTAACAGAATTTTTTTGAATACCACTGTGCTAAAGGACACTTTAGATCCCTAAGGCCTAGATTTCATTAAATTATGGTAAGTTTTGGTGGAACCAGGAATTGCCCCTCAATCTGCAAGGTGGAGGGTGGGGGGTATGTGCAGTGTATCATCTAGAAATCCAAAGATCACAGCTGCAGACAAGGTGGTAAGCATCATATAGTAATATGAGACCTAGTCTTGTTTGTTCAGAATGAGAGGGTTCATAGCACAGGAATGCAGTTCCAGAAACTTGTTTGTTTGTTTGTTTTGAAATTTTAATGCTGGATGTGTTTTAACTTTTCCTCTTTAGAGGTCTGTTCATAGCCCTTGCTAAGTGTGGATATTTTTTCCCCCATTAGGTTTTCCGTTCGTATCCACGCCACACATTTATGGCGATTCTGCGTGTCAGGGCAGATTTCTGCCGGGCCCAGCACCACACCCAGGCTGAGAAGTGAGCTGGGGTCCCCGGGGTACTACGTGCCATAACAAAACTTTGCCTTGAAGACTCCAGACATCGAGACATAAGCCTCAAATATATGGGGTTATCTTCTGCACATTGGAAACCTCTTCCTCTTAGTGACACTAGAGAAGCAAAGCCTGGCTGAACCCAAGCGGATACAAGATTTGCCCGTACATTTTCTTTGTGCCTCACCAGTGCCTAAATGTAGTAAAGGCTACCTGTTTTTTTGCATGTAGTAGGAGACTGCAGAGTCTGAAGGAGCGCCATCTGCAGTGATTGAGGCTGAAGTTGAATTCCAGCAGATGCTCAAACTAGCTTGCTTTTATTGAAGTGAAGAACAAACCAAGTAAACAGAAGCTCTGATCAGTTCTCAGACACTTCATTGGTCGTTTTTAATGTTTTCTGCTGTGAAGCACTGCAAGATTTGATTTTTCCCCCAATACACTCCCCAATCCCTGCCACTATGAACCGTCCCGCTCCAGTGGAGATTACTTATGAAAGTATGCGCTTCCTGATCACCCACAACCCAACTAATGCAACCCTCACCAAATTCACAGAGGTAAGAAGGGTATTCATATCATGATAGAACATTTTTGAACAAGCAGTTAAAACGGTACCTGGGAAACATGTGGGCTGAAGTAAGCCTCATTTTACCTAGGCCACTGCTTTTCAGTCTGCTTTAGGCAGGCTCTTGGTGAAAAGTTTAGTAATGGTAGAGGAATTTCATCTGCGGTGATTGAGAACTGAAATGTAAGTTCAGCAGAATATAAGGGGGAAGATGGAGTTGCCAACAATTCTGATCTTCTCTGGCAGTGTGCCTATGTGGGGAATGGCTGTGTGTGCTCTAAAGTATGTTCTCTGTTCATATGCCCATCATTGAACAGAATACTTTAAAAGCCAGTATCACTTGCAATCTCGGGATTTTGTAGGATGGTGACTCAAATGTTGCATGGGCTTACATGTAATGTAACCCATAACCCTTATCAAAAGTTCTCTATAAGTGATCAGTTCAGAACTATAGAAAGAGCGGGGGATTGTGGCTTCAGGATAGGGGGGAAAGGTTCCCCATCCCATCTAAGGTCCATTTGCTATCCTGCCTCATCTTCACTCTCCAGCCTCAGGGGTTTCATTGGTTTCCCTTGAGGAAAAGACACCTCTGAATGCATTTCACATTGCTTGGAGTCCACAATAATGGTATGTTGAAACAAACACACACTGAAATACAGGAGCCGAAGTGGGGAAGGTGTGCTGGAACGCCGACCGAATGTTAACACTAAAGAATTTATTACAGGGATAGCCCCATGAATGATGTGCCAGATCTGTATGTGTGTTGCCTGAGCAAACAGTCCTTGGGAAAGGTTTCCTTCTTCCTTCCTCACTTCCAGTTGGGTGACAGATCTGCTTTGTTTGGTCTGTCCATCAGCCTCGTGGCTTTTGTGAATATTCCTACATTGCCACTCACCTTTCAGCTTCTTGAGAGAGACGGAAGTTTGCTTCACCTGTTCTGCCATATCGCAGGCAGATAAACTCTGGAATGTTGCTCAACAGAGAGAATAGCCCTATTTCTGAAATTGTGTCTATTTTACACTTTGAAAAAAATGGGTGCTCAAATGTCAACATGAAAGTTTAAGTGATACTGGCAGGCTTCAAAACTTCCAGGTTAGTTACTTAGCTGTTCCATGATAAAATTGTTCAACTTTGAAATAAGTGCAGCTGTCTCATCCCTGTGTTGGTTTGATTTGAAAAAGCTGCTATCGATCCACATGGCCTAAACGTCTGCAGCAGATGGCTTCTGTGCTATCACAGTATAGATGACAATATAACAAAGGTCACTTTTTCTGACCTCTGTGGCGGATGTGTAAACATGGTCCTGCACTTACAGAATGACCTTACAAGTTTCCCCTCTCCTTTCATACATTTTATGATAGCCTGTACATTGGATACTACTGTGTATCAGTGAGTCCTTATTGAAGGATTAGCCGGTTCCAATAGTAATATTTAATTTGCAGTGGCCACCTCATTCGGGAGCTTGTCGTAACTATATAGATTATAGCATTCGGTGTATATTGTGGGCAGAATGTGTATTTAAAAATAAACTGAGATTTTAAAGTTCAGCTCATGATGATGCAGTTCCCATGGGAGGAAAAGTATTGCTTATTTTCCACATTTTTTAGCTAAACTGGAGTAGTGTTTGCTTACTCTACTAGTAATTTCTACTTATAGTGCATTGGCAGGAAGCCAGAAAACAAAGCTGTCCTTCAGAGCAGAAATGTCTGAGGGCTGCACAAACCAGGCAGCTTCCATTTAAAGGAGGCAGGGGAGCTGACAGTGCAAACTGCTAATTCACACTCTGTGTGTGTACCTTCTCCTCATGCTTAGGAAGCCTAACAGTTAACACCTAATGGTAATTCCCCTCCCCCGCACAGTTTAAAATTTATTCGTAAATGTGATTTCCTGTACACTGCTGATATATTCCATTAGTCCATTTCCTTCCCCATGAATATAGCTTAGAATGCAAATCAAAAAGTTTATATTTAAAAAAAAAAGCAAGACTACTGTCGTGATAAAATCATAGTAATTTGTGGGCCTAAGTCTGATTCAGTGCAACCAAGGCATTTTTCCCCTCCCAGTGCTTATTTTGCAGATCGTCAGAGCCCTCACCCCCAGTGCAGGAGGAAAACCAGTGGAGGCTGACCCTTCCCTTATTTTGATTAGTTTACCTTCAACTTAAGGACAGGAGAGCTGCTGAACACACTGTATCTTTGTCTTAGTTATAATGGTATCAAAATAATCTATCTTGGCTTTCTTGCATTGTAGTCAACAGTGTAGGCAGTGTGGCTTTCAAAGGACCTTGTAGCAATTTGAGTTGTCACCTCTCACTTGGAAGCTTTTCCTGGTCTCTGTGCATCACACATGCGGGCTTTGCTTTTGGGCAGAACTTTGATTTGGAAAATCTCATTATCTGAACAATTTAGGGCAGGGGTCCTCAAACCTTTTGAACAGGGGCCCAAGGCAGTGCCGGTGGGGCGGGGCGTGGGGGGCGGGGCGAGGTGCCAGCTTGCTCACGAGGAGATCTTTCCGAGTGAGTCCAAAATGACCTCACGCACGCACCGGCGCTGACTTGCTCATGAGGAGATCGTTTTCTACAAGTGTTTCCAAAACGACCTCCTCATGAGCAAGCCGCATGCACACCCAGTGGGTGCAAAATCTGTGGGGCGAGCCGCTGTGGGGTGCACATGCGGCTTGCTCGCGAGGAGGTTGCGAGGTTTTGGGGACCCATGATTTAGGGGGACAGCATGTCCCTAGTGGGTTCCTGCCTATTTCCCCAGTTCCTCTTCAATTGCCGTTGTGGCTACTTTGTGGGAGCGCCTTTCTCTCTTTGAGATTGCAACTGAGTGTTGTTTCATTTCGTTCTATTTAGTCTTTCTGTTGTCATTTCACTTTTCTTTCTATTCTAGCGAAATATACTTTTTGCTAGGCATGACTGCTTGCTCTGTTCTGTAAGTTTATAAAGCGTGGAAGCACCTCCTACCTGTGGATGGTCATTCACTTGGTCTGGTTAGTCTTGGAGAAGGCCACCTCTTTGCCATGAATGCTCACTGCCAAGTCTTTATTAGCAAGATCGGAGAAATAGAAAAGATGTGTGGAGGTGGTAGAGGCTTGGAGGAAAGTGATGGTTCAACCAAGCTTTTCATCTTCTTTTTCCTTGACATCCTGGGGAGGAACCTCCCAAGAGCTGTGATCCCTTGTCCTCAAGTTCTTGCCATGAACACGGCTGATTCCACCAATTCCTGGGAGCTTGCTGACGCTAGCACTTGCCAGGAAGGTTTCCAAAATGGTCAGGACTCTGAAATTGAACCATCAGAAGAAGAAAAAGAAGTCTCAGATCCGTGAACCTGCAGATAGACCTCTGCCTTTATTTCCAGTGATGGATTCCCCAGTTCTAGTGTTGACAGCAGGAGCTGGTCCTGCATGCCTCTTCCTCTGAAGGGAACATGTGAAACTCATCTCCAGCTTGATCCTGAGAATGTTTATCCTCCTTACAGTGACTGACACCTTGGTACCAGGAATGCCATAAGAAGTCCACATGGGTGTGGAATGGGCTTCCCCGGGAGGTGATTGAGGCCCCATCAGTGCAGGTGTTCAAGGATAGGCTGGACGTCCACATGGTGGGCATGTCGTGGGTGGAGCCGGCTGGTGCCGGAGGTCAGACTAGATGGCCCGGGAGGCCCCTTCTGACTCGCTCTGTTCCTATGTTTCTAAGTCCCTTGATTCAATAGATTGAGGTTCTGTTTGTATGAAGTAGAAGTAACTGGAATCATGAACCACTTCAGCACTGAGAGATGTCTAACTCCTCTTTATCTGGTTGGGAGTGATGCTTTCAGGGCCAGTGTACCACCCTGCATTCCTCCTACTGGAACGAGTGGGGCATAGAAGGGGATGGAGAGGCACTGCAGTGTTATGCAGATGGCATTTCAACTTGGCTCTGCACTATGTCTTCAGTCATTATACCTGTGAGAAACAAGCATATGTTGCTGCTTCTCCCTCTGGTACCACAGCTGCTGCCACTGGCCACTCGAGTGCAAGCCCCTCCTGTGTCCTTTGTAATGACTGCAGCATCGCCTCCTGGGCTCAGGGCCATCACCTCCAGGAATCCAACAACCTCTCCTCACTTCTGGTTAAGAGTTTTCATTATGCTCTTCCAGAGAAGACTCTCACTGTAATCCAGCATTGCCTACTTCAGTGACTCCTTTGATGTTCTTTCCCAGTGGAGCTGTGGTGACTCAAGATCCACCACTTTCCTCTGAATATCTTGGCCATTTCTCAGACCAGACACAGAATGATCCAGTGTTTGATGCAGTTTACACCAAAATGTTAGCTCCAGTAACTGTTCCTTTTTTTCCGGCTGTACTCCAGACAGTTCAGTCCTGGGAGGCACCTCCCTGAGGATGCCAACATCAAAGCATCTAGAAACTATGTACCACATTCAGGAGAAGAAGCTGCTTTCCTCTTCTCCCACCCCCACCTCAACTCTATAATTAAAGTTGTGCAGAGTTGATCACAAAAGCTCCATTCATCTCCTATAGATAAGGTTAGATATTATTGGATCCAAAGGAATAGTTACTGGATTCAAAAACCATAACCAAAGGCAGTTAAAAAGTAGGTTTTTGAATTTTCAGACCACAATGTTTAATATCAATTTATGGCAGGAGAAAGTCTGTTTCCACCTGTGTGAAAGTCTGAGTGATTACGTAGCAAATGACCAGTGAGAGCTGGCAAAGTCTATCCAAACAGAAGTGTCCTAGTGTCACAGTGAGCCCCAAAGGTGTTCATATCATGTAGCCCCACGAATGGATTCACCAGCTTTGTAAACCTCCCTTTCAGTGGTCAGGCAGTCCAGACACACACTTGTTTGCACTGAGGAGCACCTGAGTGTGCCCCCATTTTGCAGCAGCGTGGGAATAGGAAAAGGGTTGCCTTGTCTTCTGAACTGGGGCCATCATCTTCTATATGTGTGCCTATTGCTTCTGCTGCTCATGAAGGTAGTGCTGAGGATTTCAGGCTGGCAATGCCAGTTGCATTCTCCTGACCCTGCATTGGCCCTGGCAGCAGTCATGGTTCGCCGACCTGCTTCTTGCTATCAGTTCCATCACTCCTCACGTGGCACTGAGGACGGATTAGACACCCAGCCCTCACCACACTCTGGTGGACAACTCAGAGGTTACAGTGTTGGTATATGAGTTCATACTGACCCTTTGTGTGTGTATCCAGGGGGCCCTTGCGGTAGCTTGAGAGCCATTCACTTCATAAGCCTATGCTGGAAATTGGAAGGTGCACTCCACCTTTTAATCTGTTGGTAGAGTTTATCCTGCCACAATTTTTACAAAGCATATTTAGCAGTTCTTTCAGGATTTTTCTCCCTGTACTCCTTGCTGCCATTCCTGCCTTCCACATTCCAGTGGCCATGCATCCTGCAGTGCACTGGTTCCTTTGCAGCTTCTGTTTCCCACATCTTCTGTATGGTTCCCAGCCCCACAGTGGAGCCTGTTGCCAGTTGGTTCTCCTTGGTTCACTAATGCCGGGGCTTGAAGGGTGCAGTCATCTGTCGATGGCATGTTGCTTTTTCGGGGGTCCCTGCCCCTTGTTCAGGTGAGTTTTATGCTTTGATGATTGATCAACCCATTTAAACTGCGTTCTACAAGATAAAACAGTTCTTTCCTAGATATCTCCTTTTTGACTAGGATGATCTCCAACTTGCGTTTCAAGCAGGACATGGTCTTACCAGCTTCCCATATTTGATGTTGAATTTGGAGTCTGCATGTCATACCCTTTATGTTTAATGGGCCCTAGCTGTATACAAAACTTGAATGGAACAATTCTGGAAATCGCTTTGAGTGTTTGTCTGCTATGCTGGCAACAGAGCATGTATGATAGTGTCACTACTGAGAGATCCCTCTTTGATCTGAGGCCAGAGCAGGCAGGCTTGGAGAACTGAGGGAATAGGTGGGAATCCAGTAGGGACAAGTGTACTAAGATGGTGGGGGAGAGATTTCCCCATAAATTCTTCAGAAGCTTCCTGAATGGAGGCTTCACACAGGCACAAAGCCCACATGTGTGATGCACAGTTGGTCGCTCAGGTCTCCAGTTATAGATAAGCAACCAGTCCTTCTTTCCCATGGACCAAAAAGGAAATACGTATGATTCATCAGGTTGATATATTACTAATTAATAGTTCTTTATCTAATCCTGGACATTTTGCCTTTCTTCCACGCTTGGTAGTCTTTCTGTGCTGAGCAGCCCCTGCTGCACAACTGCCTAATGGAAGTTAAATAGTGGGATAGGAGATCATGGAAAAAGGAATAGGCTTTGTAACTCCAACTGTCTTAAAACACATCAGAAAATTCAGGTTGTTGTGGATATAGAGGCATGGAATCATGATTACAATTGTACTATAACAGATTAGAATTAAAAGCAAGTCAAAAGGCCATCTTAATTGTTTTAATGCTGTTTTAACTTGGGTAATCTCTTACCCAAGTGGAATAATTTCAGAATAGAATATTGCAGAACAAGAGCAACATGTTCACCAGGCAGGTCAGTGCAAATGCTGTGTCCGTGAGTAGCTGTCCCAAGCCCCAGGTTTCATATGAGCTCCCTCCCTGTTGTAGTCTGTGCCAGAACAGATCTACTGTATTTTACAGCCAAATGAGTGAATGAGATGGGTGTGAATTTATCTCTTAATCACACTGTTCCTTTTCTTCTTCCTTGCTCTTACCTATTGACTGAATGGTTCAATACTGGCAGGTTGTTTTTTCAGAGCTTGCTGTCAGCATTCAGATACCCAAAACTGAACAACAAACTTGCCCTCTCCACATTTGTCAGTGAGTAGGGCTCATTCGTACTCTTCACTCCACTGTGCACCCTTCTGTTGGAAGGTTGTCCTCTTCCTTGTTCAGCCCTTTGCCCTGTGTTCTTCTGTTTCTGGCCCATTGAAGTATGGGGGCCAGTGCAATTCTAGGGCAATCTCATTTGTTACTATTTCAGCAAATGTGCAGACTTTTGGAAGGCTGCCTGAGGCTCCTGCCAGTGATCAGTTACTGTCCTGCATTGCCTCTGGAAGCAGCTAGTATTTTCTCTTGCTCTGGGAAGTCAATTTGACATGCTTATTGTTTGTTCTCAAAGGAGCTGAAGAAGTATGGAGTGACAACCTTGGTGCGAGTCTGTGATGCTACCTATGATAAAGCACCAGTTGAAAAAGAAGGAATCCAAGTTCTAGTAAGTATTTTTCAGGTTCTGAGTGGACCATTCAATTGAGCATAGAATATAGGTGCTTTTCTTAACTACCTGATTGCCTTGGTGTATTGTTACGAAATACCATCTGGCCTGACTTGCACCTGTGGAGCAGTATAGTACCTGTACAGAACTGGCTTGGATTCTGGGTCACTGAGTAGCTGGCGATCTTCTGTGTTCAGCCATACAACTGCTGGTAGATTTCTCCAGAAAAGGATCTGAGTGCTGAAGAATATAGATGGGCCTTGCAGATTATTTGTTAATGGACACGAGCTCACCAGGAAGGATAAGGGCAGATTATCATTCAGATGCTTGCCCCAGGTGACTGGTAAATTGTGGAGCTGCACTGTCCATTGTGCCTAGAAGAGAAAACAGGTTAATTCCACTGAGACCTGTGCAGGAGGGCTTTCCTGTGAACTGTGGTAGATCATGTTGAATTAATGGCATTTGAATTTACTGCTACAGGCATCAAAATATGGGTCTGCTTTGATCCCTGATTATAGGAGACCTCATAACCCTTCTCTTTTTTAACCCTGCAATCACAGCACAGGTTTTCTATGGTCTATTTAAAAGTATCACATATATACATATAGAATACATATACAGAATATGTATACAGAACTTCACAATATAGAAGCAGGTTATAAAGACAATTCTGCAGCTCCAAAACTGCAGCATGGTAGGATGAAGGGTGTGGAGTTGTGATAGGCTGACAGAGCCCATGTCCTGCATACGTTCCCTTCCACTTCTGCTCCTCCCTCTCCAGTCACATCTTACAAAAGGAGGAAGATCAGTGTGGGGAGCCCTGGAAAGGCACGAATTGGGTTCCTTAGGTATTATTTACATCTGTGCCTTGGTGCCCTCCAGACATGTTGAATTACAGTTCCCAGCAGCCTCATCTTGCAAAGCTTGAAGTCCAGCAAATCTGGAGGGAACTAAATTGGGGAAGTCTGATTTACTTGACCAGCCAGTGTAGGAGTATGTGGGAGGGGGAGAGGTAAATTCTCACAAAATCCTCTCTTGGTAAGATCTTTGCAGGAAAGTACAATGAGGAACTTACATTGATGCAACTCCTCCTCTAGGTCTTCAGAAAGCATGTTGATGCCCTGTCATATTTGCATAACTCTGCAGTGAAGGCACTGTTGGGCTGTTCTAGCTGGGCTGGGGCAAGCCATCATGGGCAGCTGTTAGCAGCAGTTTGTTTTCTCCCTGTGCATGTTTTCGTCAGCTCACGGGCTTGGTATCTGAGCAATGAATTCACGTGCTACTGATTCATAGGTTAGGCGTGTTCATGTGTTGACTGGTATGATGGGGTGGTGGTCTGAGCAGTCCGTGTTTGCCTAGTACTCTGTTCGCTCTCACCTCGAAGTGGACAACAACCCCAGGCCATTCCTCTACTTTTCCACATTAGTGACTGCCTAAAGCAGCAATGCCTGTAATGTCCACCTGCTCTTCCTACCTTGGCCCTTTGGTCATGTGAGCTCAGTGCTTCCTGAGCAGTCTTTAAACCTGCTTTTGCTGCGTAGGGCATTTTCGCCTGTTCTTTGCTCTAGGCTCTGCAGCTGTCAGCAGAGCCCATTGAAAGAAAAGGATGGCATGAAAGCAGAGTGAGTTCCCTACGGTTCTTTTCTCCCAATCTGTTGCACTCCCAATCCTCTGGCTTTTGAGAGTGCTTCATGTTTTGTACTATCCCTTTCTCTCCCTAGCTCCCCTCACTGCCGCTAGTCCTCCTAAAAGTGTATCTTGTCACATTCAGAAATGAAACCGAATGACTGTCTGACAAAATTACATTGCCACTACCTCAGTTCCACTACTTGTTGCAAGCTCTTGATTATGTGGGCAGGGCAAAGGCACTCTTCTATCTACCACCTCTGTCTTGTCTTCTCTCTTTAACCTCTCTGTCTTTCATAGTTGAATCTTCGGGTGAGAACAAATCCACTGAACCTTAGACAAGCCTTCTACCAGCCTAATTGACCTTAACAGGGTGATTGTAAGGATGAAATGGGGTGGGGGGAGAAAAATCAGGATCCACATGTCAACATGTGTATTAAAAACATTTAAAAATGATAGTTTAGCCCTTTAAGTATAGGAATGTTTGGGAGGATGGGGAAGGAGACACACATGGGCATTACTCATCCTACTTTGACAGATGATAGCACAGGGTGTCAGAATTAGATGCGGCTTGCTTGAGCTGCTACTGTTAGTAAACAAATATATGCAATAAAGAGATGAACTGAAGGAAAAGACAAGGGGTGGGGATGGATGGTCTTGGCGTTAGTCCATGCCAGCTGCTGGAGCATCACAGGTTTGTGTGTCTGCTCGGAAAAATAGCAGATGTGACAAGATAATCTGCAGGGAAAATGAGGATTTTTTCCCTTAAAATGTTTGGGCTCATGATGGAGTGAGGGGGAGCAGCTTTATCTTTATTTTATTTGCTTTGGTTCAGGGTGGGTCCTGAGTGACCAGCACTGAGAGCAGGGCAGAACTCCGTGATTTGATTGACACAGCTGGACTTTGGTTTGGAAGAGCAGCTATTTGTGTGGCTTTGAGCAAATCCTTCTGGCTCAGCCTTTGTTTCCTCATATGCAAATAGAAATAATAACAGCCAATTTCATGAGCTTGTTGTTGTGAAAGCAAATAAGTAAACAGAAAGCCAATTTAACATGCCATACAAATGATTGCCAGTAGAAATGAATGCAGTTTCTATCCTTTGGTCTCTTTCAAAGTTTGTTCATGTGAAAGGTCCATTTTAGGAAATCAACATTTATTCTGCTTCAAGTTAGGTTTTCTTTCTTTCTTTCTTTTTTTTTTTAAAGAACTCCATGCTTTGCTGGATCAGGTCAAATTGAGCTGAACTTCTGTCAGTGGGAACTTCATTTCAGTGGCTCTGCAGCTGAGCATAAGCTCGCACATTTCCCGTCATCTGAGCTCTGGAAGTCCCCCAGTGCTGGCATCTGGCTCGATCAGCTGCCGCAGTGCCAGCCTTATATAGCTGTTAACCTGTGAAAAGCCCAGGGCTTTATTGTGGTGCTTGAGAACTGTTCCAGGAACTGTAATCAACAGCAGCCGCAGCCAGTTTCATGCTGATAACTTGGCATTCCATTTGCAGGAGCCCTCTCAGCAGACCAGGCACGTGCTTTTCCTTTTGACCTGTGGTGAAACTTCCCTGCGGACACTCTGCCTTCTCTTAGCCTTGCTTGGCTCGGCTTTGGTTGCTGCAGCTCAGCCACCTCTTGCCCACCAGTGTCTCCTCTCTGTTGCCTAAGCTAGGGGCAATGCTTCATGTGTCACTAATGAGCTTGTTGGGAATTTTAAAAGATGTGATGATGGGCATGGGCATGGGGGAGAGGCGCTTTCATCTGGAACACTGTATGAAGGGGCCTACATGCTCCTCAGCTATGAGCCTGAGAATTCCCAGTGCTGTTACTCAGGTTAGGAAAGAGGTTTGTGGTAACATCCTCCTCATTATACCACCTTAAAGCCCACTGGGTTTAAAAAACTGGGGTGGGGGGAGTGGTTCCTCCACTCCATCACATTCCTGGAGTAGTCCTCAAGCAGCACAATGCAACATTCCACTCTGCCCATTCCTAGCTACAGTGTAGTGGCGGCAGTGGTGGGACCCCCCCCCCCAGTTTTTCCAGGAAATGTTTAGTTTATGACATTCAGCTCTCCTCCCTGGTTTGAAGCAGATCCTAAGTACATTTAACAGCGTTTATTCATATTGATCTTTTCCCTCCTCCTCTGACCTTTTCCCTCCCTCTCTGACACTGTTGACATTTTAGACTGTATGTTCCTTGGAGCTGGAACCTGTTTGCACACTCCTTTTGGCTGTGTTACTGTGCAAAGTTCAGTGTACACTGTGCCAACTAGCACTGACAATGGAGTTGATGAGTTGTGCGCTAAAATCTAGTTAGCTCTCACTGCCTAAGCAATAAATGAATGTCTGAGAGGAAATAGCAAAGCCGCTCTAGTTGTTGCAGCTGGTCTCAGAAAAATGCCTTGCTGGCCTTGAGTGCTTCTTGGGCAGCCTGGAAGGTTGTTGTTCCTTGTACAACTGTTGTGATAAGTAGTCAGCTCTGGTGTGCAGGTAGAATCATTTGGTGGAAGCAGTGACTGGGAGAAAAATGGGAAGCAGGATGGTTAAGCCAGAGTCAATAATATCTTCTTGGAAAATGGAATGGGTACAGGACTGCTTGAAGAGAAGTGTGGCAGCCTTCCTTAGTTGTGCTAGCACCGAGTGGGAGTAACAGATACTCTTGCCCTCTCCCAAAGGACTGGCCATTTGATGATGGAGCACCACCCCCAAGTGAGATTGTGGAGGACTGGCTCAACCTGTTGAAAACCAAATTCCGCGAGGAGCCTGGCTGCTGTGTTGCTGTACACTGTGTTGCAGGATTGGGCAGGTAAATCTGCTTCCTTACTTGGGGAGATCGTTGTTTGTGGCGAAACAGTCCCAGCTGTGTATCAGAGCACATTTGCTGATGTGCCAGTTTAATGCAGCATCTCCTTTCTTCCCAGCCCTCATTCACCGAGAATCTGAAAGACTGAGGCTGTTTTGAAAACTAAAGAACAGTCATGAAAACACCTTACTATGACATCCATTTAATTCTGTGTCGCACAGGCACTTCCTACGTTATACAGAATCACAGTTAGACAGACATGACAAAGAACAGGCCCTGTGTTTCAAGAGGCTACAATTAATCCATATGCTGAAAAGTCAGCTTAGTTTGGGGACTACTTTAAGTAACCTGTCTACTCTCAAGAAGAGCCACTGCAAACTTGTAAAAGGGGTATATACTTACTTCTATTTCAGTGTGCACTTATACACGAAATATGAATTGTGGTGTGCAGAAAGGCCATGACTCTGGGACCAGTCTGTGCTGTGAATCTGGGTGGTTTGGAACCCTATCACTGCTGCTTCTCCCCAGCTGCTTTTTATGCTGCTGTGACAGTTGCTCAAGCGGTGTCCTTCCCACCACTATCTTTTGAGTTCCTCATTATTGGAAGGAAATGAGCAGCAATGGTTGTCCAGAGTCTCTTTGCACTGCTTCCAGCCACAACAGTTAATGCTCAGTTGATTGTTTAGTTAATAAAACAACTTTGACTTGAAAGGTGCCCCTCTGTTATTGGGAAACACTTTTTAAACAACTCTTCATATCTTTGTAAACTGGAGATGATATATGCCATCCCAGAAGAGGCACTTTCCTTTCTGTCTCATCCAAGATCTATTTTCTTAGCAAAGTATGCAAACTGCACTACTGGGCATCTGCCAGGCTCTTGATTCGGTGTTGCATGCAGGGTTGGCAGCATTAGGCCAAGCAAACCAATGTTGTTCTGGAGCTGGAAAGCTAAAAGCAGCCTTGGACCCATGGCTGAACTAATTGGAACTGTTCTTGAAGGGGTTACTGGCCTTGGTTTAAATCTGTGCTGCATTTTTCTCTTCTCCTAGAGCCCCGGTTCTGGTTGCCCTCGCACTCATTGAATGTGGAATGAAGTATGAGGATGCAGTGCAGTTTATAAGGCAGTAAGTGAAGGGGGCTGGTTTCCCTCTGCATTACTTCTCCTCCACTCCCTTTGTCTCATTCGTTGCACTTAACAACCCTGTCCATGCCATAAGGCAGGTTAGAAACTGCTGCTTCCTCATAGCATTTCTGAATTCGCAATAGCTGCATCCCTTCCTTTGGAACAGCGAGTAGAAGAATGAACCAAGTTGAGCTGCTTGTTCGGGCTTAACTGTGGGAGTTTCACATACCTTCAACTGTACACAGAAGGTGGAAGTGCATGCGCTTGTGGCTAGCCATGATGTATTCTGTCCTCAGTGTGCCATGGACTGATATGTTTCAACATGAGTAATGTTAGCAACTTGCCCAAAGTTGTGTAGTGAATTTCCTGAGTGAGCAGCATTTTGAATCTGAGTATCTGCCCTCCAAGTCTGGTGCTCTCTCCACTCCCCTGCTATCAGAGATGTTCAGTATATTTGCTTTTTCATGACACTCGAAAATCAACAGGTAAGAGAGTCAGGAGCAAGCTCAAACTACATTCTGTGCCACTGTATTTTCTGATTGCCTTGGACGATAGTGAGGGAAGAAAAAAGCCAGGAAGATCAGGATTCCAGTGTCTGCTCAGCTATGAAGCTCTCCTGGGGCCAGGTTGGCTTCAGTGTCTCTTGGCCTAATGTTCCTCACAAAATAGTGATGAGGATAAAATAGGGACTGTCTTTGCTGCTGTGAACTCTGGGATTAAAACATAACTTGTTTCTCCCCATATTTGCTAGTGCAGTAGCATGGGATGGAGTTGCAGTTACTGTTCCTGCGTTAGGGGCAGTTCTTGTGACCCCAGCAGTGCAGGAACGAATGGTGCTGGATTGACTCCCATACCACCTGATTAAGATAAGTTAGTCTTAAGCAACTGAAACTTTAGCTGCTTTACCAGTCAAACCAGTTAAAGCTTGAAAATGTAATTATAGCCCATAGATTCAGTTGTGTGTGCCTGCTTGTTTCAGTCTTGCTTGTGCTGAGTTTTGCTTTCTTTCGTATAGAGCAGCAGGGCTAGGTGGGGAGGCAGAGGTCTCTCATGCGTGCCTGGAGTAGCTGGTCTTCTCTAGGTATTTACTCGATTTGGGTGCAGGAGAACTAATGTCTTGGATTGTATTTGTTTCAGGAAGCGGAGGGGAGCCTTCAACTCCAAACAGCTGCTCTATCTTGAGAAATACCGACCGAAGATGCGATTACGCTTCAGAGATGCCAATGGTCACTGCATTGTGCAGTAAGCAGGAGGCCCCCTGTGAAGTCTTGATACTATCATGGCTGTCTTTCTGGACTTGTGGAACCTGGAAATGTAATCCTGGAATTGAACAACATCCTTACCATATTGGAGTTGGTGCTCCTTAGCCTTTGTCCTAATGATGATGATTGTGATAAAAAATAAAATTAAAACAAAACATTTCAGTGAAGGATTGTCTTCTCATGTTGCAGTCTGATCATCTGCCAAGAGACAAGAGTTCATTGAACCTTCTGTATTTTTAACTTTTTGGAGAAAAAAATTAATAAAATCAATTTTATGTTTCAAGGAAAACCAGAGTATCGGGCTGTGCAGAAACCCTAATCTTGGAGTGGGACTGGGCCCCTCAGTCAGGCCCTGGCTGAGGAATTTCCCTTTGTTCTGTAATAGTTTTCTTTCCTATTGCTGAAAGCTGGCAGACAGAAGTGAAGTGAGTCATTGTAGCTGTATGTGAGTGGGCAATGGGTGCTCTTCAGAATATTGGTGTAACTATGTCCAGTTCAGAGTTGCCAGGCTGTTCATGTTAGGGAGAGGTGCTTTTGGTAAACAATGTGCTGGGTGAAAGTCCTTTCCTTCATTGGGTGGCATCATACAGTTTACATGTAAACACTGGGTCATTTGAACTAAGGTGGGGTTACTTTATGACTGCCTTCATAGAACATCACTCTCTTAAATGTGTTGAGTGCTATCTAGCCCTTGTGGTACGGATGTTAAAACTAAAGGATGCAGGAACTTCAGAGGGATTGCAGTGCTGAAATGTACTTCTCTAAATAATTTGATTTGACATTAACTAAAACTCATGGTAAAGAAAGGGATGTGGCACATACAGTTGACTAAGATAAATAAAATAACACGTTACAGAGGCTGGCTGGAAAGGCCGTTTCCTCTCGGGAAGGAATCGACTTGCAGGAAGTCTAGTTCTAGTAGGGCTTTGGTGCCCCTTGCTGTCTCCAGTTTTCAGTGCCTGTTCGTATGCTCTTCAGGCCAGCTTCATGTACAGCTCACCTTTACCACTGATGGCCTTGTTTTCACCAGGTTCTTAAGAGAAACACTGCCAATGCCTCATGACCATAGGCTTCTTAAGGGTGTGATGTATGAGGACTTTGCTGGGTTTGCTTAGGAAGGGTGGGAGGACATTCCTTTTGGGTTAGGTGATTTTGGGGCAGCTTCTCCATAAAACTGCTTCAGCTAGGCTGGGTCCACTGCTGCAGTGTCAACAGCAGCTCTAGCCGTTTTTCCCCATCTCACCTTACATTTTAAAAATGGGCTTGGCTACTAAAAATTCTGCATTCATGGTCTAGGGTAAGCATTAGTTTATGGCAGAAGGTCAAAGGCTTTGGGAAGTCCCTTCCAGCAGCTCTTTCAGTGGCCATACCCAAAGCGCTCCCTGTACAGGGAACCTTGCTGAGTTGTATCAGATGACCTCACTCAGTCCCACTGAGCATTTTGAGCCTGGAAAGCGAACTGTGGGGAGGCTTCCACGCAGACTTGAAGCCCATTGTGATGGCGCTGTGCCAGGTGGAGTCACACCCAGCACAATCCTGCACCTTGAGCAGCTTGTAAGCCCCATAGAGTCCACTGGAATTTAAATGGGCAGGCCTGTGTCTGGTTGGAGGCTGACCAGATTTCAGTCCGTAAAATGTTGGCTTGCTACAAGAGCCACCTTGCTTCTAAGATATGCCACCTATATGGGGGATTGTGGCATTATGTTTAAGCATGTGAGAATTCAACATGATACAACTTGAACATTAGAAAAAGGATACCTATCTGGAAATAAGAATATAGGTAAAAATGCTGGAAATGTGAGATTGGTGTTCTCTTCTGCCTTCCACCCCCATTTCCATGTTGCCCCCATGTTCACATTAAGGCACAAGTTGTTTTTGTAACTACTTTCTACAAAAATGTAAGGATATTTTTGCCAGAAAAAAATGCTACAATGTAAGATATTGTAGCCACACAAAAACCAGTCTCAAAGTTGTGGAAAAAACAAATCTTTTTTTTGCCTCCCCACATTTAATTTCACTTTGATGTATTATAGTATATTTGCTTGTATATGCAACCTTGAGAGAACTGAGGGGTTAAGTGCGCCGCGATGCACATTCTGTCATAGAGTAGAAATGCTGGAGCTTCATGGTGAGTGGGGCTCAACAGGCAAACTTTCTGGTTCAGCACTTGAAACATAGTGCAATAAAGTTCTTGCTGTATAATGTCTCTTCCCTGGTTCTCTGAATTTGTTACAACCACCATGTCAGAGCAAGAATATGAAGGCTGTCCTTTGAAACGGCCAAGGGGGTGCTTATTGCTGCTTCAGAAAAAGACAGATGTCAAATTTGTACATAATTTTATTTCTCGTGAATAAGGCACTTCCTTTGGAAACAGCTGGATGCATGTCAGACATGCATGCAACAAGAAATTGGTCCAGAAGAAGTATTCCTATTCTGTCATAAGGTATCTGGTAAACCTGGATAAAGTCAGCCTTGAGTTCAATCTTTCTAAATTGTTAAGCTTTGGCCCAGTACAAGAATTGGTGGGAATAAGGGGCCAAAGTCCCTGGTACTAGAAACCTAGTGAGACAGAGGTAATGCGATAAAGTGGCCGTGCTAAAACTGTCACACTGACTTTTTATGAGGACTGTCAAGCCAAGACAACCTTATGAGTGCTTCCTTAAACTCCACACAGAGTACAAATGTGCTAAGGTCTGCTGTCCACTGGATTGCAGAATCATGAGTGTTCCAAGGTTTGATGAACTGTAGCCATTATATGTAACTTGAAACTTTGGTAGCTCTCACTCGGTTTTTAATACAAAACCTGCGCATTTGTTAGCCTGACAGTTTGATCCAGGCTTGTTCTAATTCTAGGTTAAGCAAGTAACAATTGTTTAGATGTGTCTGACCCCTGCTATACCAAAAATGGTGGGAAAGGACAAGCCACAGGCTACTTACAGCTTGTTTTGCTAATGCAGGAGTGGGCAATCCGAGGCCTTGTAGCTGTCCTGGACTACAATTCCTGTGTTCCCACATCACTGTCTAGGCGAGCAGATCAATGGCAGGTGTAGGCTAGAACATCTGCAGGGCCACAAGCAGGTCACACTGGACCTAGCACAAAACCATAGCTTCCGAAACAACTCAGCTGGGCCTCTCTTAAAATCGTTGACAGCTGAACTCTGAAAATGGTTTTTCAGAACTTTCCTACCCTATAAAGGCTGATTCACTCAGACTTCTTTTTGGAAGGAGGAAGTACCCACTTCGGTCCCCCCCCCCATCAATGATCAGGAAACATGAGAACAACTTCAGATTAGAGCACCTGTAAAGATCAGCAAGGAGGTATTTGCAGGCTGAACCAGTCCATTGCTCAACCTTGCCTGAGTATACCAGTTCACTGGCATTGAAAGAGCTAATCCTCACTGAGAAAAGCCTTTTCAAAAGCCACCAGTTCCTCCTGCGATGCCACAGAGCAACAGTAACGGTGCAAAGTTACACTGCTGCCAATGGCCCTTTCAATGTACAAACACTTGCATATGTGAAAAATAACTGTACAGGGTTTCTAGAAGGCAAGCCGCAAAAGTGACACATTCCTCCTTCACCCACTCTCTAAGGTCAAATCCCTTTTTCTGTCTTCCCACATCAGCCCACCCATGCAGTCATCCACCCAGAGGCTATGTTGGACGACAAACCAAATTTAAAAGGAGAAAGGGGGAACTGCACCTCATTCTGAACAAACAAGAGCTCAATCATGTGAAGTCATTTGCGAACCTATGACAGTATTTTGATCTTTGCAGAGGTATAATTCTGCTATCTGGCAGCAAAACAGTGTCACTTTAAATGCACATTTTATGATGGCATAAGAAATACGCAACCCAGGTATTTTAGACTACAACTCTCAACTTCTCTGACCACTCACTGGTCATGCTGGCCGGATCTGAAGGAAGTTGCAGCAGTGCCAGTCAGGTGTGTGCATAAAGGAAATGGAAAGTGAAGGTTGGAGCCGTAACAATGGAATAAGTATTAAAATGCAACTAAAACTTAAGTGTATGCAAAATGACCTTTTGCAGCAGCAGCTGCTGCCACTGCCATTTAAGTGGGCCAGGAAACAATTGCCTATATCCAGACCTAAGTGGCCAGTGTTACTGCTATGATCAATCACAATTCCACGGTTGCGTGCAGGAACTTCCTTTTGAAGTTCTTTAGGATGATCACCTTTAAGGTCTGTAACAGAACAATCTGGAAAATTGAAATGGTCTGCTGCTGGTTGCTAATTATTTCTGTTGCTACTGAAAGACAAGCATTTATTCTTCTGCACAGGGAGCTGGACTGTGTTTTATGCTAATACAGGAGGACACTGCTGGCAGAAGTTAGCCTATGTCACTGGAACATGAGCAGAGGAATAACTTTTACGCTCTAATGGAATAATCCAGGATTACTTTTTGCATGCCATTTGCCACTTAAATGAACTTTCAGATTTCTGTTTACCCGAAGGATGTGGAACAGGTGGTGTTCCAGCAACTGTACTGCAACTCCTCTCGTTCCTAGGAAATGCCTATCTGAAGAGCCACACATTTACTCATCCCTGCTGCATTCATGCACACACGCGTGCTTCTCTCCCCAACTGGTTACAACCCCATTCCATGCATTTGAAGAAATGTGTGCTAGTCTACAAAAGCTTATACCGCCATTCTATTTCTTAGCCATTGACAACTTCACTGCTAACAGTATTATTGCCACCACTAACTGAAGCTATCTTGCCAGGCATTTCCCAACCTTTTCCTGCCACAACGTAAATCATTACCGTTCTTGCAGGGAAGTCTGAAGCTTGAGGCCTGATGAGAACCAGTTCTTACCGCACTTTGCCCGAGAGAGATCTCAAAAGTGGGCACATGCCGGGGCGGGGCCGCATGGCCCAATAAAAATGTCGTCGTCGTCGACAGCCATTCAGTCGAGTCCGACCCTTGGCCACTCCACGGATCATTGCTCCAATCAATGTAGTGCACTAACAGAAATCTGGGAAGCCGTATTCGTAAGGTGCTGGGGCTCACAGGAGTTTACACCCGAAAGCCCGGGACGGGGCAGTTAATACGGGCAAGGATTATGCTGGGAAAACGTGGCAGCTGGAGAGCCCCCGTCCGTCCCCCTTCCCCGCTGCTTCCTCCCACACACCGGGCGCCT